TCGTGGGCCCTAAACCGAAAATCTCACCCCCGTTTTCTCTCCAGATTGCAGAGACGGTCTGATCTGCAGATTCGGTTGAATCTGCGACGGGCGGGAATGCAAGTTGGGGCTGGCACAAACGAGGCCTGCATGCTCAGCAGCTAGGCATACAGCTTACAGTGTGGATGGTGACCTGAAGCCACTTTATGAGGTGCCGGTGCTAAGGAGTCCCATGAGGGTTCTTATATGGGTAGTGGTCAAAATTATGGTCCCTTTTTGGGTACCCTAAATAATAGGTGCCGTATCAAAATGGCGACCCGAAAAGGGACCATAATTTTGACAACTACCCACATGGCTTTCAACCAAAGCTCATAGTCAAAGCGGCCCGGTGGAAGACTTCACATCCTTGTCTGCTGGAATCGTTGCACGGCTGCTCGCATTCTCAGATAAGGCTACCTAGAGGCTCCATGGCAGTTCCTTGTTGGGGTTCACATACGGGTAGTTGTCAAAATTCTGGTCCCGTTTAGGTGCCGCATTATAATAAGGACCCAAGAAAGGACCATAATTTTGACAACCACCCATCTAGAATCCCATAAGGCAATCCCCAAAAGGAACAACTATGGAGCCTGTGGAACCTACCTTGTTTAGGGTTCCATAAAATGATTTCTTTATATATGTCCTTAAAAAGGTAGGTTGATTGGGGTTACGGTATGGGGCCTATGGGTAGATACAGAGAGCCTGAGGCAATGCTGCCAAAACAGATTTCCGAGAAGGTCGGTCGGTGTAAAGCAGGTTAAGGGTTTAGGGTTTAGGTTTTAGGGTTTTAGGGTTTACGGTTTAGGGTTTCCCGCATCCCTATGATTATGAGGACACACCAATATGTTCGCCAATGTTCCATCAGGTATAGATAGTTCCTAGACCTAGACCTTCCAAAATCCCTTCAAGGAATAGACCTTAAAAGGTGCTACTGTTGATGATGTAAATCCTGCATTACCCATAACACGGAATATACCATTATTCCCATCGTTTTAGGTCCCTAAGGCACTGCAGGATTTATATCATCAACCGTAGGATCCTATTCCCCACTATATAGGTCTTTTAAGGCCTAAGTACCTACTCTATGGGTACATGGAGCCTTTGGGATGGCGATCGTCGGGCTTCGCCCAGACAAGGCTTGCAAAAGACTCAGGCAGCAATGGCCCGGGAGGAAGTACCCAGAGACTCCAATATCCCTTAATTAAGGAATATACCTTAAATCATATAAGGGATCCTACGATACTTTACGGTATATTCCTTAATTAAGGGATATTGGAGTCTCTGGGTAGATCCTCCCCAACAGCCAGAGAAGTCTCCCGAATCAATCTTGCGTACTGCCCCCATACAGAAACAGTATATAATGGGGCTACGATTTAAGGTCCTACTATATCTGTACTATGAATATTATTCAACTGTTACTGAGTGGGGGCAGCATCCAAAGTCAATCCGTAAACCCTGACACCCTTAACCTAAGCCTTAACCCTTTTGGTGGCGCACATGAGCAAAACTCAAACAGGGCCTACAAGGTGAGCTGCAGGTCTTGTGAACGAGGTCACATCCTGCCTGCAGGAACTCCTCAGGAGCAAATACTTCAAAAAACTCTAGATGGGAGTTTCAGAAAACAATTGGGGGGGGTTGGTGACTAGAATACGGCTTTGGGGACGAACATTGGAGCCATGATCTGGAACCCTTTATTCGAATCATAGTGCAATTTCTTAGTTTATTTCATTAAAAGATTTTGTCAAAATTCAAAATGTATAATCAATATGCTGAAATGATAAAGATTGTTCATGCTTCTAGATTACCTTGCTTGGGTGTCCTGATTCTACGAATCTGACTATTGAAATCCGGCTTGTGGGTTTGGGCGCCCTGTTTTCCGTAACTCCCGATGCGCAGCATGCCTTGAAAACGAGTACTTCATGTCACAGCAAGCGGAGGGATTGGCTTGGATGCTTCAGGTTTACATAGGGTGGTTTTGGGCTTGGGGCCTACCCTAAACCCTGAACGTGGAATCACAACTCCCGAAAACTTCTGTCGACCGCTGATTGGCTGATGAAACCTTAGTAAAGGCACGGTCCAGATGCCAAATCTCTAAAATACTGTTCCCGGGGATCTCACAAGTGCTCAACTTTATGCGAGAAGCTGTATGAAGCCTCTACACAGATGGATTTTGCACCCCCGATGCTCACGCCACCGCCGACGCCACACGGATAGTATAGGGGCCTTGATATTTAGAACACGGTTCGGAGGTAAATTGAAATTGCTGTAGGTATGTTAGGGACTCTTGGGGAGAGGTATGAGGAGCATTGAATATATGGGTAGTTGTTAAAATTATGATTCCTAATTGGGTACCCTAAATATTAGGTGCCGCATTATATTAAGGACCCAAAACGGGACCATGATTTTGACAACCGCCCATATGGCGTCTCACAACCTTGACCGCCCGTGCGAAAGCGATAGAGCCGGGGACGAGGCCTCAAGAACCCACATGCCCCTCTGCTAACATGCGCACTTTACGGCTTCCGGCTTCCCTGGGTCCGAAAATAACCTCAGTCTTTCGAGACATCTGAAAGGAGCCCTAGACAGGTAGGCTTAAATCTTGGGGTCAAGAGACAAGTCACCCTAAACCCTAAACCCCCAAGCCCTCTAAATCCTAATAGGCCCTAAACCCGAAGCCCTTAGTTAATGTTTTTAAGGTAGGATCAATCTACAGGCGTCGTCTGCTAAGGGCTCAGTGCTGGGTTAGGGTCGAAGAGTTCTCTTCTCAGCTTCAAAATTTTGGTCTCGGGCCCTGCCGGGTGTCTCAAACTTCGCTTGCGGACTGGAGATCTGGGTGGTTGTCAAAATGATGGTCCCTTTTTGGGAGTCCCTGCTATAATACGGCACCTATAATATTTAGGGTACCCAAAAAGGGACCATAATTTTGACAACTACCCATCTCATGCAAGACACATGCCACATGCAAGTCTTTCAACGCCCGGGGACTTGAAATCTACACACCATCCTGGAGGTTTCACGGCTACAGTAGGGTTTCGGGTGTGCTTCCCGAGGTTCGGGGCTTTCGTATTTAGGCGGTTTAGGGGTTTAGGGTTGAAAAGTAAAGGCGTCATGGCTTGAGCACTCTTCAGGGTTTGAAGGTGCGTTTCGGGCTTCGAGTTTAAGGTTCAGGGTCTGGGGTTGAAGGTGCTGGGCAGAGGAATCAAAGCACGACTGGCAGGTCACATGGCATGGAAAATTGACCCACGACACAACTCAACATCTTTTGAAATGTATTTGTGCGTCCAGGGATCGGGGTTTTGCAGAGGTGCGATGGGCCTTCATGGCACCCTTCCCCAGACCCTACCAAGTACCCCTAGTAGTTTTGGGCACCAAATTAGGGGACCTACTTTCTAGATCCTCCCGGGGGTCTGGGTCCCTGTCCTGAAAACCTGGTCCCCACGTCTAATATAGTGAACCCCTGAAAGTTCGAACATAGCTTTAGGAGTATTCTTGTTGGGATTCCCTATACTTTACTTTACATAGGGCATGAGGCTAATGGTGCTTCAACTTTCTGGCTTCTACTGTATGGGCGCATGAATTAATACAACCAGCGCGTTTCTCGTAGCAGCACATGAAGAAACTTTACTACCAGCTTGTGCTGAGCAGCAGCACAGCGACATGTTGAGATCATTGCTGATGCCAAGCAGCTTCGAAGCAGTAGAAAAACAACAGACAACAAGCATGGATAACGCACATGCAGTGTAGACTATGCGCCCGAATGTTCGATTAATGGGACAGGAAGCTGAAGCTCATACCCACGTAGAGCAATTCCCACGACAGAAAACAACAAAGTACATGTCTACATACCCCTCGCGTACTCCTGAAAAAAGCAAGTTTACTTTGCAAAGCCCACCTGCAATAGCCACGGAACACGACACATCCTCTGCAATCCAACAGAACCTCTGCTCGAATGCAAGCATGCTGCAATGCCTAGGCGAATCTACAATCCAATATGAGCTGATGCCTCGGACCTGGAGATCAAGATGCCTACAGCTGGGCCAAGGTCTACCTTAAGCCAGAATAACCTACCGTTTTAAGGACTTATATAAGGAAATCATAAAAAGGAACCCTAAAAAGGGAGGTTATTCCGGCTTAAGGTATGCCTTGCTTGTCATCATGAAAAGTCAAAAAACGCTGGAGTTTGTGCCCTTCAGGCAAGCTATCTATTCGAGTTCATCTGTCGATGTATCTGTTCATCTATTGATGTATCTATGAATCTGCCCATCCTTCCAACTGTTCACATCTATCTATATACATAGAACCCTTCCGTAATGCATGCACGCATGCAGAACGAACACCTGCATACATGCATGCATATGCATGTGTATATAATATATATATATATATATATATACACACACACATACCTACAGCTGGGTGTGTAACGGTTGGGCGTCGTCGCTCTGCATGATCGCGCTAAGACACACCTGTGTAGATCATGGACAGATAGTTAGATACGCAGGTAGATGAACCGATAGACCGAAAGATCGAAAAACCGATCGGTAGATAGATAGCAGGTGGATAGATATAGATAGACAGATAGATAGATAGAACGACAGATAGATAGATCGACGGATGGACAAATTTGATAGACAAATAGATCGATAATAAATGGAAAGGTAGAGAGATAGATATGCAGATATGGGTGGTTGTCAAAATTAGGGTCCCTTTTGGGGTACCCGGCGCCGTATTATAAAAAGGAGCCCAAAAGGAACCATAATTTTGCCAACCATCCATATGCATGCACGTAAACACAAGCGCGTAAGTTCATAACCTGCACCCTCGATCCCGGACCCATGGTCGACTCCTACTGTTGATGATACAAATCCTGCATGACCCAGAACAGGGAATATACCATAATTCCCATATATTCCTTATTATCCAGGACCCTAAACTATGGGAATTATGGTATATTCCTTATTATGGGTGATGCAGGATTCGTATCATCAACCGTATGACCGGGTTCTCCGGGCTCCGGCTTCTCCAATTCCGATGAGGTCAAGCGGAGAACGGACCCGTGAATTCTCTTCCTTGGCCGGGAGTGCAGGTAGACAAAAACTATCTGTCTACCTAGAGGCTCTATAGTAGTTCCTGTTTTGGGGGGATCACATATCAATCAATCTATCTATAGAACATACTTGCATATGACGCATAATGTATGATATTTACCCTATGGGTGTAGGGTTATAGGGTTTGGGGCCAACAGTGGAAGGATTGGGGTTGAGGGTGCAGGCTACTGTTCGTAGTATGTAGGATTGGGCTTAGAGCGTGGGATTTGGGTTTAGGGTTTGGGGGAATACAGGGGCCTTAAGAATTACCTGAACTACCTTGGGGGTTCGTTATGATAATTCTGGTATAATATACCCCAATATACCCCAAAATCCTAGTCTAATTAAGTATTACCTGGACCCCCGATTTGGTTATATTACGCCCGGTGTTTTTTTTTACGCACAATTACGCTTGAGGTTCCGGGTTTACGAATTTTATGGTTGCAGGCCTTTTTACGGGTTTCACGTTTCATCCTCATGGGGGCTATAGACGCTTGGGGTTTTGATCCCTAAACCCTGCCGGAAGATCTAGAATTACGCTACACAACCTACGCTTTTTTATGGCCGTTCTACGCTTTTCCTACGCATTTCCTACGCTTATTTATGGCTGAATTTGCGTTAGCTTTGGGGTGGGCTCGGTGCGAATTTATGGTTTTCTATGGTTTTTCTATGGTTGCTTATGGTTTTTTATGGTTGTTTAATTACGTAAATTTATGGTCATTCGGGGCCAGGGCTGCAAGTTCATCAGGATTGGGATCTTAACCTACGCTTTTTTATGGCCGTTCTACGCCGCTCTACGCTTTTCCTACGCATTTCCTGCGCTCATTTATGGTTGAATTTGCGTTAGCTTTGGGGCGGGCTCGGTGCGAATTTATGGTCATTCGCGGCCAGGGCTGCAAGTTCATCAGGATTGGGATCTTGGTTCAAGGTAGGGAGGCAGGAGTTTTGGGGTTTGAAGGATATTTAGGGTTGACAGATACCATTTGGGTTCAGGAATGCTATAGGATAGATGGCTATATATGGCATCCCACAATAATTAGACACAGAAAGCAGCATTATGGACATTTACGCCCGGGTGGGTTGACCTACGCACAAATACGCCCGCCTACGCTTCGACCAGAAATTTACCTCACTTTCAGGGTTCCAGGTAAGGCCCCTATATTGTCGGGATTAGGGTGATTTCTAAGAGGCTTCCTGGGATTTCGGGCTTGATGCTTCTTTGACTGGCCGTTTACCCATAGGCTCCATAGTAGTTTCTTTCTGGGCGGGTTATCTTGAGACTCCTATAAGGCTATCCCGAAAAGGAATTACTACGTATGGAGCCTATGGGTAAAACCTAAACCTAAAACCCTAAATCCGTAACCCAGAACGCCAGAACGCCCAATTCCTGCCACCCAAAGCCCTGATATAGGGGGCTAAATAGTTGTTTATGCAGCCTTTTTCAACCTATTGTGGCTTGTTTCTAGCACGACTAAAACGTTGGCTGGTCACCCCGGGATGGTTCTGCCAAAGGATCCATGTACCTTATAATAGAGATCCTTTAAGGGTTGGTATAGGGGTTGCTTTAAGGGTTCCTATAATAAGGGTTCCATATAGTAGGGTTTGGGGTTTGAGGGTCCATGTACCGAAATAGTATATACTTGCGCCCCAAAGTACCAATGGAGGGACTACTTTAAGGCCAAAGTATATACTATTTGGGTACATGGATCCTCTGGCGACTAGCGTGCAGACTGCAGGGCCCACACCTTGCGCTGTACTGTAGGTCTTAATAATTATGTAGGGTTTTGGGGCCCATTAGACTGTACTTGCAATAAGGAACCCCCAAAACAGTATAGGTAGTTTTTAGGCCCCTAAATTGACCCGAAACCCACATTCCGACATTAATCCAAACATCGGCAAAGGCACGACGAAGTTGGAGAAATGCACCCAGAGCTTTTGTCGTGGCCGAGCAGCCTCCTCCTTTCAAGGCGCATGGTAACTTACAGCAACAATCACCTACTGAAACACGTTACACAAGGCCTCAGTCTAATCATATGAGAGTTGCAGAAAAGGAAGGAGAACTACAGTAGGCCCTTGCATGGCAAGACATGGTCCGGAACCTTCTAGGGACGACACTTGCTGCTCCTTATAACCCTAAACTCCAAACCCTAAACCCCAGTCGTTGTCTTGAAGGTCCAACGGTTCAAAGGCACAAAAACCTGCAACCGAGTTGATGCACGATTTCTTGTGCTCACGGGTAATATAGGGGGGGCCTTAATATTAGAATAGGGTTTTGGGGCCCATTATACTATAAGTAGAGTTAGGTACCGCCCCAAAATAGTATGGGTAGTTACTAAGGCCCTTACCCTGTTGGGGTTGTTCCCTTCTCGGGTTTGGTGCTTTAGTTCTCAAGTAGGTATCTCTTGTACGCGTGGTGTCTTGCTTGGGGTGCTTGTGATATAAGGGTACGGTTCGAACATCTTGTATCCTCCAAACAGCACAGCCAGGAACCCTAACCTGACCACCATTCCCAACATCAAAATCATACTGATATGACGCTCCGAAAGGCTGCGAAGGTAAGGTTGGGGTTCAAAAACGGCGGAACACCCCGTGTTGAAAGTCTCTTCGGACTGAACGAATCTAAGTGCAAGGATTTCTGTCTTTCGCGAGGGACAAGATTCTCTGAAGCCGCCGTGGATTATGACCTAAACCCTGACCCTTGAACCGTTTCAGCCGTAAACTTTCCTAAACCCTCCGAAACCTCTGAACTCCAAGACTGCGAAGCCCCAACCCCTGGGCCCTAAACCGTTAACCCTGAACCCCAATCAATCCCTCATGCCGAACCCCTAACCTCGGAAATCCAAACCCCTAAACCCTAAACCCTAAACCCAAAACCCTAAACCGTGAATCTCAGAACCTGGTTTAGGGTGTAGCGGCTTAGTGTTTACAGTTCAGAGTCTCAGAACCCCTTACAGTAGAAGCCAGAAAGTTGGAATATCATTATCATAATCCCTTTAAGGTAAAGTAATTCTAGGGGATCCTGCCATTATTCCATATTCCAACTTTCTGGACTTCCTTTTAACCCTGTACCCCGACCCTTGGAAAACTCACCCGACCCGGGGTCCCCCTGGTTCTGCGCCATGCAGGGGAGAAACTCAGCCTTCCGCGCAATCCTCAGAAGTGAAGCCAGGTCTGGGATAAGAAATCCTACCTATAGTCTCCATTGCAGTTCCTTTTTGGTTTAACCAATTTTATATTAAGGATCCTAAAAGGTAACCCCAAAAAATGGTTGGGATAGGGTTAAGCATCTACATGGTTATTCCTTATTGGGGTTCAGTACCCATAAAAGTCTAAAATGTTACGCAACTATGACAAAGTATACTTTTTCAAAATTAGGGCTCTGTACGAAACGTTCATGGAAAACAGAATCCCAAATCGATGCCTGGTACAGGCTATCTTCAAACACGTGATGAGGTCTGGCATACGGGAGTTTCCGAAAATAGGGGACACTGATATGGTACGCTAAATAGTAGGATCCGTATTATGAGGACCCCAAAATAAGGCACACGTAATGTTCGGAAACTCCCATATGGGTGGTTGTCAAAACACAGTGTCCCTTTTAGGGTACCCTAGAAATTAGGTGCCGTACTATATTAGGGACCCAAGAAGGGACCAGAATTTTGACAACCACCCATCTAGCCACAAACTTGCTTACCTGACAATGCCAGAAAGCCTGTGACATGCACTGACATGCACCCAAATTCGTCAATCGCACCGCTGAACTCAGTCACTAAGCGCATGTTCTCGTGTCCTGATTCTGCTCAACCAGCAGGAGGGTGGAATTAGGGTGTAGGCTCAGGGATCCCGCAATCCGGCCTTGAAATACCAACACCTACTTGTTTGCAGGTCCTTGATTGAATGCCTTAGTTGCTGAGTTCATAAGCCCCCCCCAAAAGTGTACACTTTCGATTTTATAGTGGGTGATATTATCCCCAAAAGTGTAAAGTGTATCCACGTAGCTACTAAGATGCAGCTTTAGAGCCTACAATAAGAGTCTACGTCTACATCGTCTATAAGAAAGTAGGCTGTAGTATTTATATACTACCAGTGTGAAGAGGCCACCAGAGCCCTCTGTTCGGTGGTCAAGCAAGAATCGCAACTGAAACGGGGACAAAGGACATACTATTGAAGACCGAGAAATTCATGCTACGTGGTGAAGCGACTGAACTCGTTGCTTTGTAGGGTCTGGCAGGAGTTTCGATTAAGGGCATCAAGATTGCGATCCCAAGTTTACTTTTCCCCATGCTTGATGCTGCCGGCGGGACGGGCCTTGAAAGTGGGCCTTGAAACTAGAGACCAACCCGAAATCCCAAGTATCACCCCCCAAAACCCCAAACGCCACTCAGCCAAGTCGAGACACATGTACTTTCGAGGATCGCTCGGCATCTTGATTCGAAGGCCGTTCATTGGCTTCCTGGGCGACAAGTGTAGTGAATTAGAATAGGGTTCCTTCATAGGGCTGCGATAAGTGAAGGGTTATATCCCCACCACCCCACACCGGGTGGAGGTTAGTGTAGTGCGTAGGCGCTGAGTGGACAAGGCTAGTTTTTGAGGGCATCCCGGACTTCGTTTCAGACACTGGCCTGCTTGCTTTCAGCTTTGTGCGAGCATCTCAGCCGGTTGGCGGCAGCAGAAAGGTTCAACACCGTAGTGAGACAGAAGATACCCCAGCATTTGTTCCTGTGCTCCGATCCAATTCCGATGCTCGTCTACCCTCGTGTTATGCCTTCGAGTCCTGAGCGACTCACTTGCACGTTTCGCGCAGCATGAAGGTGCTTCACTCGAACGTGAGCATTTCGACTCCAAATTACCGACCCCCTGCAAATTAGCCTAGCACTTGACTCCATGCATGCTATCAGAAACAGCCATCTAGCAGCCATGCCTGGTAGTATTTGTACGCCGCAGTGCGCAATTTGACATGTCGTTGCTGTAGTTGTGCCGTCCGAGAGGTAGCATGTCTACAGTACCAATTTCTGGAACGAACGATTCTGCGGGAAATGCGGCACAGTTCCATACTAGGACCGTTCAGTGTAGCTGGATCCTCTGCGGCAATGCAGAAGCTTAGATCGTAGTTCAAGCCGTTATCGTATCCCAGTTCTCACCGCATCCCTCTGCGGTGTGCATTGAGTTTCTTCACTGCCCGATCAATAAAGCAGGCCACAGCAGTTTTCAGGTATACCATAATTCCCATATATTCCTTATTATGGGTCATGCAGGATTTACATCATCGACCGTATCAACCTGGGAGACCCACGCCTCGAGGGTCGTTGAAAACTTACCCCCCCCCCGAGAGCCAAATACTCCATCTGGAAACAGCAGTAGGGGGATCCCACTGAAAGACTTGACGTGCATTGGAGACTCCAATATCCCTTAATTAAGGAATATACCTTAAATTCTAGTAGGATCCCTTACATGATTTAAGGTATCTTCCTTAGTTAAGGGATATTGGAATCTCTGGGTGCATTGGAGACCATGACTCACCATCAAGCCCCACCCTCCCATAATGAGGCTTAACCTGTGGATCTTATGAGAAATGCCGGGCAATTAATCAGGGGACTACACTATTGCTCGCTCTTTCTTCTCCAATAGCCGAGTCCAAAACAGTTCTACTTTCTAACATTGTAAGATAGATGAAATACATCGGTCCAAAAAATTAAAGCTCTGCCCTTGGGTTAGTTTAGATTACATTAGGTTTCATCAGATCAGAATATACGGTATCTAAGACTAGGACTAGGAGTAAACTGTAGCATATCATCGTATATTACACTGTGCTTGTTAACTCCTGACAAGGATCGGCTGGGATACTCGTCCTTCGCGTATCTTTCGAGCGAACCTCTCTGCTTTGCCTCGCACCTTCCAAGAAACTCTCGTCCTTTACAAGGGTTCTTAAGAAGCTTTACGGATATCAGGCGTTGGGTTTACCTTAAGCCGGAATAACCTACCTTTTTAAGGTTCCTTATTATGATTTCCTTATATAAGTCCTTGAAAAGGTAGGTTATTCCGGCTTAAGGTAGGGTATGTTCAGAACTCTGGGTGTAGGTGAACTGTGTCGAGAGACCCCACTCTTCTTGGAGAACCTTCCATATGATTACAACTTAGAAGGGGCCCCCACCCTGTAATAGTGACCATAAGGATTATATAGGATTATATTAGGGCCCTATTATATTCCTATAAAAACACACTTACAGGGTGGGGGCAGCTTCTAAATTACAACCATAGACCATGCAGATGGTAGCCAAGAGATGGTGCGGTACTACATTGCAGGGTCTAGGCACTCTAGGAGAAGCGGTTCCCTGCGCCAGTTCTAAGAGTGGCTTTCTGTGGTCAAGGGCCGCGAGGCGCTAGCTTCAGGCTACTTTCAGGGTTTAGGGTTTAATAGCGTTCGGGGTTTCGGGTTCAGGGTTTGGGGTTGCGTTTCGGGGGTTTACTTTAGCGACATAATAGAGAGGCCTTCTGATTCTATACCTGTCGGATCTGAGTTCTCTGAGTGATACTGAACTTAGAACCCTAGCAAAAAATACAATTTTAGCTGTTTCGTAGGGATTATAATAACCAAAAATTAAAAATCTTTTCTAAGTACCCCTAAGGAGTGAATATGGTCTGTAGTGATGATAAGGAACTCTAAGGAAGACGATCGGTAACTTTTCAAGCCCTACACTATCAGATGATGGTTAAGCTCCCCTCCTGGAGTTCCGGTTTAGGCTATGGGTTTTACTGCCTTTTGAAACTCATGATATCTGGTAGGTGGCTTGGGCGCATGGTGTCCTTTGCCTTTCTTTGGGGCAACTTTTGTTATTTTTTGAGGGCCCTTTTTCGTCTGCTCCAGCGATTCTAGGGTTTAGGTCTTAGACAAGTCATCCAGTCTTTCCATGCACTTGATCCTACAGGCGATGAACCCTGAATCGGATGCCGATACCCAGGCAAAACTGTTGCGAGTCTATCCGGCGAAGACTACATATTGTCGGAGTTTTGGAGCGGCACGAACTAGAAACATATCTTAAGGGCTTAAGGTTTACGGGGTAATGTTGGTAGCTGGACCCAACAGGGCCCCCAAGAGCGTGAATGTAAACTAAAGACCCTAAACCCTAAACCCCCTAAACCCTGAAGCCCCAACCCCTGGAACCGAAACCTCGAACCCGACATCCGAAGCCCCAAACCCTAAACCCCAACCCTACCTTAACCTACCAAACCCTACTTTTTTTGTAGGTTCTATATTATAAACCCTAATATGGAAATTCTTGGAACCCTACAAACAGGTACGTTTTGGTCGGTTGAGGTATATCCTGAAACCCCAAACCCTGAAGCCGTGGGTTTCGAGAATCCCCTAGAACCCAAACCTTGAACGCGGAATCCAAAACCCCAAACCCTAACCCCCAACGCGATATCCTGCAACCCTAAACCCTGGAGCCCGAAACCCACTGAAGATCCAGTCTCGCTGCTGTCTCCCAGTCAGTGGGCAGTATGAGGCTTCCTGCTGGGGATATATCAGGTTCTGCCATGGGTGGCCTAGAGAGCCGAAGGGTACTTTTTAGGGTTCTATAGGTCCACTACAACAGGGCACTATCAAAGGGTGCTATAGTAGGGTTCTATAATAGGTTCTATAATCGTGTACTATAGTAGGGTTCTAAGTTCTATCATAGGGTACTATAGTAGGGTTCTATAGTAGGGTTCTATCATAGGGTTCTGTAATTAATAGGGTTTTATATAGTGGTTTAGGGTTGAGGCTTTTGGGTCTGGGGGATGTCGGGTTTGGGGTTTTTAGGGTTTAGGTTTTGGGGTTTTGGGGTTTAGATCCCGCGTTTATTTGGACTTCTGGTTTTCGGGTTTGGGCTTTCGGGGTTTAGGTTTTGGTGTTTAGATCCCACGTTTATGTAGACTTTTGAGGATGTTTTAGGGACAGTACGGAGGAGCTCACTCTCATGATTCTCTCAGCTCCTCTACTGGCTTCCCGTGCACCAAATCTGGAATCGACAGACCATGCTTGGGTTACCGGGTGCATCCTTTGCCTCAGACTCTTCAGCTCCTCTTAAGCAATGTATGTTGCAAAGCTTCGGGATACAACTCCAACCGAACCAAAACTGAAAGCCGAAGCACGGACCCTCAAACCCAAACCCTGCAACCAGAGGTTCAGGTCGTACAGCATGCAGCCCAACCACGACATTATGAAGTGGAATGTTCACTGATGTTTAGGTGAGCGTACACCCCAAAGCTAAGCCAAGCTGCGCAGGCAAGGCATTTCTCCGGCATCATCGCTGATACGCTTGTACCGCAGATGTGCCTTCCAGTCTTCATGGGCTCAAGGGCTCAATACATGCGCTTTAGTACTTGAACAGCTCGTTTTAAGAGTCTAAGTACTTAGAACACGGTTTTGGGGAGTATTGTACTATAACTGTAATCAAAAAACCAAAGGAATAGTGTTGGTAATTACTCAGGTTTCCACATTAAGGCATTGGGCAAGGGTGGAGTGTTTTTGAACTTCAGGGCACGGGCTTCAGGGTTCGGGATTTGGGATCGAGTCTTCGGGTTTTTGGGTGCGAAGACCATACTAAGGCCTCAGGCTTCGGGGATGACTTCGATCCTTCGGATTCATCTTACTGACCCAAAAACCCAAGGTCATCGTTTCTAGCGAGGTTTGAGAGCAATACTCAATCCTTGCACCATCCCCCAACATGTATGGGAAAATTCAACCCTGTTGAAACAGCCGCGAAGACGGCCAAGTGTTCTTTGTGCGCAAATCCCAGAACCCTAAACCCGAAATCCCTTAACGCTTAAACCCGAAGTCTCAAACCCTAACGCCGAAACTCTGAATCCCTAAACCCTCCCTAAACCCCAAACCCTGAATCCCCAAACCCCACATCCCCAGAAGGGCCTGCGCGATATCCAGGCGGGCGGATTCCATGTCCACTAGAATAGTCAGCTCTGCCAGCTCCTCCGGTATAGTCTCCAAAAGGGTGGTTTAGGGTTTAGGGTTTAGTGTTAGGGCTTATAAGGGTTTAGGGTTTAGGGCTTAGGGCTTATAAGGGTTTAGGGTTTAGGGCTTAGGGCTTATAAAGCTTTAGGGTTTATAGGGTTTCGAAAACGATTCAGAAAGTTTTGATGGTTGAGGCGTGTTGGGCTCTCAAGTTAAGGGCTCCTATATCAGACCGTGGGCTTTGGGGATGCGGCGTTTCTACCCTGCGGACTTCTTCGGACGTGCCAGGAACTTGGAGAACAGAACTTCGGGTATGATGTCTTGGGGTTTATGCTGTACGGTTCAGGGATGTTCAGGGGTTGCCCGTGTGCTGCTAGCACACCAAACTGGTCCGTGGCAATGAATGAACAAAGGTAACCCGAATGGTTGGGTTTGAAGTCCCTAGACCCTGAACCCGATCCCGAACCGCCGAATGGTTGTGTTTTGAGGAAACGACCGCGGAGATTCGGAGGTTCGATCTTCCAGGCATTTGGCTCTTCCGAGGTAATTAGGGGTGTCGAAGTTACCCTCTGAACCCTCAACCCTACACCCGATGCCCTAAACCCTAAACACTATACCCTAAACCCTAATACCTACACCCTTCACCCTAAAGTGAACCCTAAACTCAATGCTCTAAGCCCTAAACCCTACAGTACACCCTAACTTCAACGCCCTAAACCCTAAACCCTACAGTACACCTTAAACCCCAAAACCTAAGCCAAGCGCGTCCGGACAGGCCGGCAGAAGGTAGCCCGCGGAGGTCTCGGAAGCCTGGGACGGCTGTGGGATTAGCGGTTCAGGGTTTAGGGTGTAGGGTTTATGAGGCATGGGGTTTAGGGTTTAGGGTGCAGGTTTTAAGGTATATATATATATATATACATATAGATATATATATATATATAGATAGGGTTTAGGGTCACGATTTTATGGTATAGAATTTAATCGCCCCTTGATAGGGTATTGTACTTAGGGTGCATTTGGTGCTGCAGGGCTCCAGGGCGCAGGTCCATAGGGGCTTCGGGTTAGGAGTTGAGCAGGCTTCACGGAGTAGGACTAGGGCTTTATGATATAAATCCTGAATTATATACCCATAATAAGGAATATATGGGAAATATGTAATATTCCTTATTATGGGTCATGCAGGATGTAGATCATCAACAGTAGGGCTTTGGGCGCCTTAACTAGGATGCCCAGTAACCTAGGAATAAAAAGGGCTCCCTTTTTGGTATTGGGTAACTTAATAAGGAACCTAGGATGACAACAAGGGACTAAAGGGCACTACTGGGCATCCTAGAGGAATAGGGCTTTGGGGGTCTTAAGCTGTGTTCTCTAGGGGTAGGGCTTCAAGGTTTAGTAACTCTAAACCCTACCCCAACTGAGCCCGATAGACCCTCACAGTTAGAGTTTGGGGCACCGGTGCAGGCCAACCAAACAACACTTAAAATTCTCGGACCGCTTTCTAAAGTTCAAGCTAGGCTGGTCGCCTCCGCCTTTCGGGTCAAGGGCTTCGCCTCCTGCAAATCCTACACCCTGAGGTGTAGAAGCCCAGAAAGCCTGACTTAACTTACCGCCCGAAAGACCCAATCCAAATAAGACAAGATTTCTCTAAGCCAAAAGCTCCCTTGACCGCCTCCTTATTATCTGACAGTTAACGTTTATCAGGTTTGGGGTTGATGATGCATCAAACTGGAAATCTGAAATAGAATCAAGTTGAAAATCGCGAAAGGCACGCCCTCTGTACGAAACCTAACGAAAGCTCAGGAGCTTTGCTTGCCGCGTGCCGAAGTACACGCTCAGGTGAGGAGGCTTGGTCCTGTAGGCTGTGCGGTTTGTAGGATTCAGACTTGCGGGATGTGTGTGCGATCTTGCACATGGCACTCTGTGAGTTTATGAAGAGGGTGGAGAGAGAAAGCTGGATGATTGACACTCGTTGCAGAAGCTATTAGCAGGAAAATCCCAGAGCTTCATACTGTAGAAGATGAAATGATCGAATCCTTGTTGTGCATGCGCCTAAATCGATTATTATCTTTACTATCTGAAACCACCAGTTGGACAAGGGAGATTACGTGGGACAGCTTTATTCGGCTCTATAGGGTTGACTTGACGAAGAGTTCTTCACTTCAAGTGCAAAGCTCTCGACTCGACGTTCTCTGCTTGCGAAGGCGTCCATACATACTCGCTTTGGGGAGGCGTGGTCCAGCATTACTTCATCCAGGGGGTAAATAATAAGGACCCCTAGGTAAAAACCCTTAATATAGCTATTATATACCCATTATATAGCCTATTACAGGGTAGGGGTCCCCATTAAGGGTCTCTCCTTTCCCCCTTTGACTTCTGGATCGGGAGTCGGGGGCCCTTCTAATGCTTTTGTTGTTGGAGGGCTTATCGTGCCAGGGCTTAAGTTCCGCAGAGCTAACCCTAAACCCTACCTGAAGCCGGAATAACCTACCTTTTTAGGGTTCCTTGTTATGATTTCCTTATGTAAGTCCTTAAACAACTTAAACAGGTAGGTTCTTCCGGTTAGCTTGTTTGGCTTTCGGCTCCAATTTTGAGCTTGGCCAATCAGAACCTTTCCGTCTGCGGCACGGCAGTTCGGCAGCTTTTAGTTTATTGTTTGGGTACTTCTATCTACTATTGCTGGGTGTCTGACTCAGTGACTCATTAGCGGTTCGTTCCAACCTCAACTCAACAAAATTTTCTCTCCACTACGTTGCTGAAGATGTCACCTTCCCTACATATTATCTTAAGCCCCATCGAGACGGTAAGCCTCAAGGAGCTACAGAAATAGGTTACGTCATAGTAAAACTTGGAGTGCCGCAAGAAGACAGGATCAAAAAGCCCTGAACTCCTACAGCTCGAAGGTGAAAGCTGCACTCCCCGAAGCCCCGCCATCGCTAACTTTAACTCTGAGAGGATAAATGATCCCCCCTTACAGCACGCTTGGGACCTTAGAATATCAGATTTAGGGTGTACCTTAACCCTGAATATCCTACCTTTTAGGGTTACTCATTATGGTTTCCTTATATAAGTCCTTAAAAGGTATGTTATTCCGGGTTAAGGTACTTGCTGATCATCCTACTCTTGGTCTCCTGCCGACGAAGACGACGACTACTGCCGCCACTCACTACTCTCCTCGTGACTGTTACCAGCTGTTAGCAGAGTCAGCAACAAAACAAAGCTCATTTACCTATAATTATAACAAGGAACCCCAAAATAGAATAGGTAATTATTGAGGCCCCTATATTACCCAGCAGACCGCTCGTGCACCAGCAATGCCCAGTCAACTCTTGAGGCTGGTAATGTAGGAAACTGCTTAGGACATCCCCCGGTTCACCGTTCAAACCTACTATTTGCTTAAGAACCACCAAAAAATAAAAAATCTATTCCTTATGGGGGTAATATAGGGGTTATTATTTTTTTTATTTTTTGGGTGTTTCTTAAGCAAATAGTAGAAACTCACCACCATGGTAGGAAGGGATCCTCGATCAGGAAACTGCATTGACCTACATTACGCTCTTCGGGTCGTCAGCTCGTATACGCATACGATCCTAAACCCTACGCCCTCAAGCCCGAACAAGTTCAAGGCTTGGGGTTTCACCCTGAACCCTGTAAATTACAAGTTTTAAACCCTGAAACCCTACATAAACGGTCCTAACCCGTAAACCCGATCTCAGGCATTAGATCTGCCTGCTGCCGGCGCAAAAGATCGAGCCAGTCGCTGCCAATGTCTGCTTCTGCCTACGTTCAAGGCTTTTGTGCGGATTCTATAGTGTTGTACCAGAGTTTTTGAAGCTGCTAGACGTCTTTATCAGGGTTTGGCAAATGATGTACTTGAGGGTTGTGTAGCGTTATATAGAAGCTGAACATGGAGTAGGACGGGTTTCAGAAAGCGATATTATAAGAAAGTTATGGCCCACGTTTCGGAAACCCTGCTGTAAACCCCAAGCCAAAGTACTCATACAGGAATCCCCTTAAAAGCAACACTTTACAGACCCCATAAGGGGCTCTGATAGGGGGCTGCAGGTTCCTTTGAGGTTCCTTTCAAGCTGCCCTTAAAGGAGCCCCTAAAAGGGCCCGTAAGGGAACCCCTAAAGGAACCCATACAGATCCCTTAAAGAAAATCCTGAAAGGAGCCCCTAAGAAAACCCCTACACTCCTTTCATAACTTTCTTTGGGGGGGTCCAAGGGTACATTGCCTTGAACTGGAACACTAGACTATGGTACAAAAGGGCCGTGGCATAACTTTCTTTTGCGCACCTCCGGCAGGTGCTTGGACTCGTTGTCCTCGCGGAACGCGATGAGGTGCAAGATTTCCTCCGACAAAGCTCCGTGACCCCAATGGGGGTGTAGGGTTTTGGGGCTTAGGGTTTGGCTTGTTTTAAGGTGCAGCAGGCTTTGGGGTTTAGGGTTTAGGGTTTGGGGGTTTAGGGATAAGGGGTTCGTTTCAGATGTCTTTTATTTTAAGGGCTCCCTTGAGGGGTCCTTTCGTAGCTTAGGGTTCAGGGGTTACTGGTTTTGGGCTTTTAGGGATTTGTGTTTAGAGTTTACAGGTATACGTTTTAAGATTAGTGATTAGGGCTTAGGATGTATTTAGATTTATTTTTGGAGCGCCTTTCGTTCTGCAGAGTTCGAACCTCACTACGGTAGATCATTCATTGACAGCATTTTTGATGGACTCAGCGACGGAAGTCTCCGGCGCGTAAGGAAGAGTAGACTGTGATCGTTCTCACCTGAAAAAGGTTCTTCGGGGTCGGTAGTTCGGAAGGGCATTGGGTTATGCTGCAGAGTAGTTCAGTAGAATATGGAAACTAGAGGAAGGTGGTATCCTTACCCACTATTCAGGTCTAGACTTCTACTATCGCACCTCGTATAAGGGTTTGCAGTCTGCAGGCTGCGCATGCCTACAAGTCCTATGTGGCTGCAGTGGCTGGCGGGGATCCTAAACCCAGAGCCTGAACCCTGAACCATAAACCCTAAACCCCTAAACCCTAAACCCCTAAACCCTGACCCCTAAACCTCTAAACCCCTGACAAAAGATCCCAACCCCAACACCGCTAAGCCTCGCAAACCCGCGGACAAAACACTGCGACTCGAAAACCACGAGGCAGGGTCTGGCTCTGAGCCTCGGATGACTCCAAGCCCCCCCTCTGCTGACCCAGATTTGTTGTTTGTTTTTTTTCAACCCCTTTTTACGCCTGTTCGATCCTCCCAAGCCGACATAAAAACCTGGGTTTAGGGCTTAGGGTTTTGGGACCATCAATCGCCGAACAGACATCTGCCCGAGGGGCAGAGACGCGGAACATACCTTCTGAGCCAAATATGCCCAAGGTCATGTGTTGGGACAACCCCAGTTGTGGTGTCGAGAGGCCCCAGTGCAATCTATCATTGCTTTCCGGGTAGCAGAAAATTTATGGATGGTTGTCAAAATTATGGTCCCTTTTGGGGTCCCTAATATAGTACTGCACCTAAGTTTAGGGTTCCCAGTCATGGCTTCGTCATAGTCTACCTGGAGCTACCAGGTGCATGCATGAAAAAGCCACCTTTCATGCAGCGGACTTAGTAAGTACGGTTATATTGGAGACTGCAATTGTAGAGCCAATTACAACCCAGATTCAGCTACGTGTAGGCACAGTTCCAAGATCCAATGATCTTATAAGTACCCCACAAAAACCCCAAACGAACAACACCTTGAAAGATAGAAGCCTTAAAACCGTACTTCCTCGTGGTGGCAGCAGACACCTCACTGATCTAGCCACAGAGACCGAAATCTTGAATCCCTAAACTCGGATGGCCAGTAACCTAGGAATAAAAAAGGGCTCCCTTTTTGGTATTGGTACCTTCATATGGAACTTAGGACTACAAAAAGGGAGTATGGGCATCCTAGTAAACATATTGGTGGGGGCTCGCCTCATTCATCTGGCCCCCAAGCCCGAAGCCCAACAAACCTTTTAACTCTACAGTAGACATACTGGCGGGGGCTCGCCTCATTCATCTGGTCCACTACCGGGACGTGGAAAATATCCACAGAGGCCTTGATGTTGCAAGCTCCCCGCCTGAGAAGGGCTGGGCCCTGGGTTCCCTTGAGGGTTCCTTTAAGTGTTCCTTTTCAGCTATACCCACCTTAGAACCAAGTGTTCCTTTAAGCTATACCCACCTTAGAACCATAATGAAAATGGTATGTTTAATATTCTCTTGGGTTTTATATGAACAAAATACAAGAAATCCTAAGGAGACTATAGTAAGGGTTGCCACGAAGGTTGGTCCTAAGGGCAGGTCTATGAGGGATGCTTAAGATGGAGGCCGCAAGGGTTCATGGGGTGCTGGATACGGGCCTTAGAAATTAGAAGCGTTCATGGCATATATGGGCCTTAGAAATTAGAATTCTAGTACAATTTCCGTAAGATCGCCAGAGGGATAGTAGTACTAGTAATTCAAGCTTCGATGATACTTTTGTGTTTTGGATTCAGGTGTTCAACATTTTAAAATCTTGGTGTATGGGGCTGCTTGCTCTTCCTGCTTGTCTGAAATCTGCAATTGAAGCCTTTATCACACTCGGCCTCTTGGGCTTCAGCTAGGGATCTTAGTCTAAGTTTTAGGATTCAAGGCCTTCGGATTTTGAACCTCCAATTCCCACCTCATAAACCCTAATCTTCGCTCTTAAGGGTCAATCCTGAGCTCAGAAGCTGTATGTACACGGTTTCGGATTTAAGGCTGACGGGGCTTAGGGTTGAGGGGTTAAGGCAGGGTTCAGGGTTTCGCGTGTAGGGTTTAGGGTGTAGGGTTTAGGGAAGAGGCTTTGATGCAAGATCGGGAGCCCGCCCCAGGCAGACTTGATCAGAAGCACCATCGGCTCTAGAAACCACAATTAAGCACCAACGAACTTTCAATGTACGGTGTGTGGCTTATGGCATACCCCTCATTTCCAAAACAGGAAGTTTGCATGAGAGACTCAACGCATGAACAAGCGCCGCTGAGAGACAGAGACACTCGGTGGCACGGCCTAGCAGCCAACGACTCCTGGCACGTGGTAGTCGGGTGTAGATGGGTTTCGAGCTGAGGGCTTCAGGGTTTAGGGTTTAGGGTTTAGGGTTTAGGGTTTAGGGGCGATTTCAATTCATCTTACAAAGCATGGTGCTGCGGCTTGGCAATGCTAAGGGTGTCGGTCTTAAGAATAGGAAAAAGGACAATGTCCCCCAAACCTCGGAACCCCCTCAAACCTACCAAAACCGGTTTTTTTCCGGGTGCTGACTTCGGCCGCCGTGGATTGGAGACTCCTTTCCGACTACGTACTAGTGCTTCCGTTACCCAAAATAATGGCGTACTGCAGGGGCCGGAATAACACAATCGGCTTCCTTTCAAGGGCTTTGTACAAGGACTACTATGATGGTTAGTATAAGGGGTTCCACTATCAAGGCCACTTTTGAAATGCTAAAGTTCCTGAGACTTTAGAGCTCGGCCGCTGATCGGCATGAAATTACCGAGCACATGCCCCTAAAGCCGATATCCTAAGACTCTGAAGCCCTCGCTTTGCTGGCGCGAGGCGCAGCCCACACCCAATAAAGTATTCCCATCCACCTCTTCCCATCCGTCACCAGCGGTGCTCGCCGCCTGTGCAAACATCCTCTGCAATGAAACGACAACTCGTAGTGAATGACATACGGGAGTTTCCGAAAATGGGCGACCCTAAGTCGCCTGCTCTGGGTGTTTACTTGCGCGGAGGTGCGGAAACAGGACCCAGCGCAACCACACGGATCACTCACCAAGCCTCGGTGGATGATTTGATGAACTCATGGAACATCTTTCGCTCCTCCTGCAAAGCTGTGAGGATCGCTGTGGTCACGCCAGGGATTACGTAGGGCTTGATGGTTTCCGTGGCGCCTAGAACATCTGTCCTGGGCTTTGTGTGCAGAGCCCTTTTCCAACACTTGTAATTTGGGACTACTTAAGAGCAATCATGCATGCTCCAGGCGTCGCGTGGCCGCATTTTCTGTGGTGTGGCGTGCAACACATTAGGACCTTCCGTTCCTACAAGCCTAAACCCATACCTACACCGAGGCTTTTAGTATGTGTACGTGTGTAGGTATATATTATATAGCGTTATATTATGCTTTGTACAAAACTGCACACACACAAGTCCCACAGCCTCAGCACTGAAAGCCTTAACCCTGAGCACGCGCCCTCTAGTGCCGAGCTTTTGATGTGCTGGGCGAACCCGCGTCTTAGGTACACACCACTGGTCACAACATTGGCCGTGCGAAGCCCGGCCGTGAAGACCACAACCCTGCACATGCGTACACCCAAGAAAGCTGAGATCACCAACGAGGCCGCTCCATAAGCTAGGCCCAAAAGTCATCAAGTAAGACCTCACAAGCGCCTAGAACCTAAAACACCTAGCCCTGACCGACCCCTGCCCTTGGAGCCGTGCTTTCACGAGCCGTAAATTCTAGAATCCTTAGCTACCCTTCTGCTGCCCTATGCCCTGAAGTAACAGAACCGTCATGTCAGGTCATAAACACTCAAAGCCCCTACCTAACGGAGCAGGGGGCGATAAAGTATGCTTATAGACTGCTTCTCGAACGTGTCAGCTTCACTGTGTGCACAGTTGTGTCCGGCCCACACTACTGTTGCCCGCTGGCAGCGATAAGTTTGCTGGGGTACCACCCTGACATCCTCATCTGCTTGTCAGTCAGGCCCCTAGGGCTTCACATACCGAAAAGTGTACAACTCACTGCCAGGCCTGGATCTCTTGATTTGGAACTCAACACTTTCAGCCACCAGCTTCTCATCTATGGATGGCTGGGTCTCCTTGTCAACATCGCCGGGAAAAGAGGTTGGCAAACCTACAAACATTCACTCCCGGAGTAGGAGGTCGGCGACGTTGCATTTTCTCCTGTTCTGATGGGAGTGACGCCGGAAGCATGCAATCCCGCAGTCGAGATGGGCGCTTGGAGTGGCGTGGTCTGGTCCACGAGCGTTGTCATCATCTCCGGCGGCACGCGAATGTGGGCTGGTGTTCGGAAATGATGAGTTAAAAGGAAGAAATGTACGTAAGGATTAGCACTTGGCGGCACGGCTCATCCAATAGTCCCCAGCATCGTGAACCCTAAACCCCAAAGGGGCCGGAGACGAATGATGCGGTGGGCGTGTTGAATACAAAACAAAGACCATAAGGGCCTTAATAATTACCAATACTATTCTGGTGGTTCCTGATTATAAGTATAGTATAATGGGCGCCAGGAACCTACTCCAATAAATAAAGCCCCTATGCTACTGCATCCTGACACCGTGAAACTTCACACCTGCAACACACCTAATTCCAAACCAAAACTCAGCCCTCTGCTTAAGTACAGGAGCCGCATAGGACCGTCTGCACCTAAACCTAAAAGCAGGAGGACAAACAAGCGAAAGTGTGAAGTCCTTCGATGTGGAGCTCTGACAAAATGAAAAGCCACAATTAACCCTTACACCCTAAACCACCAAAGACCTGCAGCACTCTACGGCATGACGCCCTATAGGCCCTAAACCTGAACATCCGATCGAAATTCCTCGTCCAGCAACTCCGGGAAGGCTTTGCCGACGAGGCCTGGGTAGAATAGGCTTTCCGAGCCCGCGATACTGTATTTATGTTAAGGAACCCCCAAAACAGTACAGGTAATTATTAAGGCCCCTATATTAGAACAGGTCGAGGAGTAACTGCTCCGATACTTAAGGCTTGCGGGTCCAAGTAGTCGTCCCATAATAATTAGGAGCACGTAGGACCCCCAGTAATTTTGCACAGTTTGATAACGTTTTTTTGTTGGGGTGGTATAGTACACTTCCAATTAAAATGATGAACCTCTACAGGGGCTTTAGGGTTTCGGGTTGCAACAGCCCTCGCCCAAGCCCGAAACAGCCACCCCTACCCCGGGTGTGTTGAGCACACCCAGCTTTCCACATCTCGACTCATATGAGAAGTGTTTGTCAGTGTCGGATCACAGCAAGCTTGCTTCTTGAAAGACATGGGAAACCGCACGCTGGTCTAGGCTTAGACGCTTTGGTTCAGAGACCTGATCACAGGTCGCAAGTAAATCGCAAACTCTAAACATTCAGGACAACCTCATTCAACCGTGAACCGGATCCCCGTTGAACCACCTCCAACACCTGATGGCACAACTCAAGTAATTCGGCCTTGAAATCGACCCCCTCAATCTCATAGCCTACGGTGAACAAGCCGCGGAATCTACGGAGTGATAGCAGAGACTGAGAAGGATGAGCTGACCGGCAGAAGATATTGGTGTGAAGCACTGAATGGATTAAGCCATATATATGCATGGAGGGAAAACAACTAAAACACGCATCATCATACGTCGAATATGGAACCTGACTTTTACCATGTATGCATTTCGGATCCTTGGGCTCGGCTTGAGATGGGGGGTTTGGAGCACCGAAGGCTTAGTGGAATTTGGCGTCTTGAGCTCCTGTCAGTCGACTTTCGGAATGTTTTTTGGTTTCGGTTTTGCTACCAAGCCACCTGGTTTTTTTGAAATGCCCCAATCCGAATTCTCGCTCCATCAAGCAGGTGTTAGGCATATCATTGGTTTTAGGGCATTGTGATCATGAACCACCTCAAGCCAGGCTTATGATGCACATATGGGTGGTTGTCAAAATTATGGTCCCTTTTTGGGTCCCTAATATAGTACGGCACCTAATATTATTTAGGGTACCCCAAAAAGGGACCCTAAATTTGACAACCGCCATGTAGGGGCTTAGCGCTCATAGGTCAGGGCTCCGCAGGCTCCACAGGAGGCCACAAAACGAAACCGCCACATAACTCAGCCTCTTGACCCAAGAGTAACCCAGGCATAAAAAGGATGCCCTTTTTGGTTTAAAGGGGCTTATAAGGGAACCTGAACCCCATAAAAAGGGAATAAGGGCCTACTCTAGGTCCTAGGCCTTGCACCAAGCCTGTAAACTCTAGACCCTCAAAAGCCCGGAACCCCAAACCCTAACTAGAACCCCTAGGCCGCTATAAACCCTTATAGGAACCCTTGTAGATCCTTTAAACGATCCCTTTTCTTCGAATAGCCGCCAAAAAAATCCAAAGCCAAAACTTCACGCCGAGAGGCTCTTCTGGGACATGAGGATGTGTTGTAAGCAGGGGGATTCCCCCTGGATCCTCTTTTTAAGGGGTTTAGGGATTAGGGTTTAGGGTTTGGAGATTCCCCTGTCTGTATACTCTTTTTGGGGCTTAGGCCTTTTGGGGGTTTAGGGCGTAGGGGTTTTACGGCCCCTGCATCCTCTTTTTGGGGCTTAGGCCTTTTGGGGTTTAGGGCTTGGGGGTTTTACGGTTAGGGTTAGGGGGAAGGGGGCTAAGAGTTTTGGAATGCTTTTGCTTACTTGCGGGACTTTCTCACACCTGCCGACTGCGCTGGCAGATGTTTGCACCTTGTCGGTACAAGTACGAGGGCATGAATACAGCCTATGAGTACTGTCGGCACGCAGCTGCTATGCCTGCTATTCAAGGACATCTGTCTGCCAAATCAGTAGCTGAAAAGGTGCTAAATGGGAACTCGTGTTCGCACCTGCGTAGCGCCTGCAAGGGGATTTAGGGGTCTAGTCTAAGGGTTTACGAGTTTATGGCTTAACGGTTTAGGGGCTAAGGTTTCTTTCAGGGTGCTCAATTAATTAATTAGTTTAGGCTCTAAGGATTGAACATCTGTTACAGCAAAGACCATCATGAGGGCTTAGGTTTTGCAGGACCTTCGAACCCCGGAACACTCCTAGATGCCCTGTAACCTGGGAATAAACAGGGTTCCCTCTTTGGTATCGGGACACTTTATTAGAAACCTAGGACTACTAAAAGGGAATAAGGGTAGTACTGGGCATCCTAGACTCGCACCCCCAACCCCCCCAAACCCCGAACCAACTAAGCTCAAGGACGAAGTCCGTTAACTCAAATCCGAGCAGTTTAGGGGTTTAGGGGTTTAGGGGTTTAGGGTTTTAGGGTTTAGGGTTTAGGGTTTAGGGGACCCTGTAGTCTTTGATAACCCTTAGGCTCTAAGGACTCAGATTTTAAGGCTTTTGGGCCCAAAGACTAAGGCTTTTGGGCTACTTTGAGCCTTAGGGCGAGGGTATGGAGCACCTATATAAACCCTGAAAGTCCTAAAACCCCTAAACTGTTGGCCTTAGCTTCTTTCCGGGATCCTTGTAGGGCTTGTGGAAATCAAACACTTGCTACAAGCTAAACCCCAGACCCTAGGCCCTAATCCCAAACCCATGACCCTTGGGATCCTGATGATACAATTGAGTCTTAAGCACAAGATTTCGACAGAGTTCCTGAAGTCCGCGTCCAAGAGGACCTCCCCATCACAAATACCACGCAAAACCTGCGACAGGGGCTTGCAAGGTATGTGCTGATGCTTCAAGAGTTGTGTTTCAGGTTTAAGTTGGGTTGCCAGGATTTCAGGAGTTGGGTGCTGTTCTAAAGGGTTTGCGTAGCTTGCAGGGATCACACGAACACCATGACCAACCCTAGCCTAGCCGCGCCCTCGATCCGCCAAACATGGAGCCGCAATCCCGTAAGCCAGATCGTCCTAGAGTGTGAGGCCAGAAAAATCTCAAACCTAATTTGCCTTGAACCCTAAAGCGAGCCACCGACACCGAATCGTAAACTTCGATGACAAACGCTTCAGTGTAAACCTCATGCTCCCGACCACGAACCCAGATAAGGCCTCGCGGAATCCAGCCACCATCGATCCTGCCACAAATCTCCACATGGGTGGTTGTCCATATCAGGGTCCCGTTTTGGGTCCCCATAATTTTGACAACCACCCACATCGACAATGAGGGTTTCATTAGGGTTGAGGAGTTGAAGGGTGTCGGCGAATAATACCAAACCCCTAATTGATAGTGAGGACCTGAATAATCCCAAGCCCTACCTAAACCCGAAATCCCTTAAACAGTAAGTGTCTGAGTAAACCCAAAACCCGAAAACCCCAAACCCCTACAAAGAAAAGGATAGGGACCCCAAAACGCACGTAAGCAGAAGCATTTTATAGGAATATCCCTACCTTATCGGGCTTCATTATAAGGGGGTTATGTGGGATATCGCTTTTTTGGGGGCCCTACAGGAATTGTTGCACTGAGTTGCTGGAGTCGATGGTTGGCAGGTTTTCTTCCGGAGCTCAACCTCCACATCTTACAAGTCAATGTGCTGCACCTCCAAAAATGAGCCTGTATCATGAGACCGGCCATTTCGTGGTCAACCAGTCGAGAGGTTTGACCTCTGCTACCTATAGGGTCATACCCCTTTTGGGGGGGTACCTCGTTTTTTGATATGGATCTGCTATATAGAAAAGTAGGTATCCCAAAAAAGGGGTGGAGTATGACCCTATTACAGGTACTATATATGTCCTAAAGCCTAAGACTTCCTGGCCCTAAACCGCGCCGTAAACCCAACCCCTCGGCACTCGCACCTGCTCCCGCCGATTCGAGGGAGGCCTCGATGTACCTGAGGTCGGGATGCTTCGACGGGTTAGGGATTGAGCTTGCTGAGTTTAGGGTGATTCAGGTCTGATCTTTAGGGTTTAAAGAATGAGTTTTAGTTTAGGTTTGACATATGTATTTCATAAGTTTAGGCTTTAGGGCTCAGGATCGGCGGGGATGTCTTGGGGGTTTGGGAGAGCACATCGGCGCATTGAGCGTGAGGATTTCGACCGACAAATCCAGCATTACTCAGGATCAAGGTATACGGCAGACCTCTGATCAACAAACCCCTTCATTTACAGGGGGGGTGGTTAACAAGTTAAAATACTAACATTGAGGCTAATGCGCGGTCTACATTGCACCAGCATCCACTTAGTTCAGGCTGCCAGTGCTGCTGGGCCATAATCATGCCTAGAAACGACAATCTATATATATATATATATATATATATATAGATATACACACACATACATCTCTATGTATACATATATATATATATATATATATATATATATATATATATATATGCATATATATATATTATATATATATATATATATATATATATATATATATAGAGGTATATAGGTGTGTAACCTTGCCGAAATCTCATGCAGAAAAAAAATCCTCAGCCCTGCAACCCTATAGAACCCTCAAGCCTAAACCTTATGAAATGAAAGGGCCGAAACCAAAGCAGGGTTTAGGGTTTAGGGTTCGTCACCGAAGTCAAACAAATCCCAGGGGCTTGTACAGCGTGTACTGACAGGCCGCCGAGAAAGCAACGCACGCGATGCAAGTCAGACCTGCTCGGCATGGATGCGAGACCTCTGGACCCTACAACACCATCTAAAACCCCCCAAAGCTTAACGTAGCACAAAGGACCCTGTACCGGAAGGTCTTTGGGTATGAGTCCGAATTGCCCTCGGGTGGGTAGGTGCTGGAGAGAACGACGCGGGCTCGAGGTTCCTCGTATATATTGACCCTAATCCCCTAAACGAGTCTCTTTCTCTGCCCCAAAAAGAACAGCACTAAACCCCAAACTCTTGCTTCGGTTCCTGGGATCCTTTAGGTGAAGGTCAGGGGAGAGTGCTTGGTATAGTTTACCCAATGAACCCTAAACCCCTCAGCATTAACCAAACCCTAAACCCCCAAACCCGAAATCAAACATTTCAGAATCGGATTGGGCCTTGTCCAATCATGAAGGACGTGAGTAAGGCGAAGTCCCCCTGCGAAGCGACTCGAGCGTAACTGACCCCTGCTAAATAAGGCCCCTGTCGTTTAGCCTACTTACATCCTGGGATGCCGCAAATAGTTCTTGCTGCGCTAGCAAGGGATATTAATTAACCACAGGCTTACAGTGACTTAAATACTGTTGCGAACTCAGTGTCCCCAAGCCCGAAGCGGTGTTTGGGGTTTAGGGTGCTGGGGTTTACGGTTTTACGAAACACCAGCGCCAACCATTCTCCTGTTACAGATTGATGGGGTGTACCCTAAGGGCTTGGTGATCATGGGTTTGAGACTTGTTTGAACTGGTCGGGTGGATTCGGAAATGCTTGCTGTTAGGGGTTTAAGGGTTAACAGGGTCAGATTCAGTGTTGTCCAGGGTTTTAGATGGATAGTAATAGTAATAGTATTAGTTTCTGAAATAGTCATAGTAACAATAATAGTAATGGTAATACTAATAGTAATAATCATGGTAATAGTAATAAACTGGGGGCTGCCAGCGTCCCGGGTTCTTCGTGGGAGCCTCTTCGGGTGTTAGGATTGGCGCTTTCGGCTTTTCCGGTAAGCCGAGCTTACGAACAGTGATGTGGGACTGGGATAGGTTCAAGTCGTCGTAATCCAGTAGGCTCTTATTTTCAGTGTGCACCTGCCAGGCAACTTGAAGATACCTTCTGGCCAACTGATAGGGGACCCTAATATAGTGCCCTAGATAGTAGGATCCTGATTATAAGGACCCCATAGCAATGTACCCCGAACTTTCGGAAACTCCCAAGTGGGTGCTGGGCAAGGCCGGAGGCAATGGCTTCCTAAGACCCTCCTTCGACCCACTAGGGTAACGCCACGGCCCATGGTGATGCTTCACACGCCAGAATCCAAGCATGTTCTCTCGCATTTTGGGCTTAGGGCTGGGCTTCCGCAATGTATGCTGTGGGTTATAGATATAGGGCCTTTCAGATTGGCGACTCTAAACCAACATGCACGAAGCACGCTGACATTATGGCATAATGCATATGTCTCTTCATATGTGTGCACAATAAATCTATATATGGATTATATTTAAATGTACATATATGCACATATATATATATATATATATATATACTCCTATATCTGTGCCCCCCCACACACACATACATACACAAAGACCATGACCCTCTTAGGAGCCTTAGGGTAGGCACGTGGGCCCTGAAAGACTCCTTCTATATTGCACGACTGAGGGGGTCAGGATGCAGGCTCAGGTATGTTGAAGGAGCCCAAAGTTAGTTTCTTCGAAAAATGCCGGATTTAATAGGGTTTAGGGTTTGAGGCACATATACTGTCATTATGGAGTCACGGCTTAGGATTTAGATGTTTGGGGCTTAGCCTTGTTCTGGTTTTGGGAACCTTGTGCGGATCGTCTTGGCAAGGTTTTCATGATCAGGAGGTAAAAGCCGGGACCGGACGAGCAGGAAAGGAAAGTAATACGGCTTAGGGCTTGGGGCTTGTAATATTATGATGTCTAGGGCTGGCACTTGCATCTGGCTATTTGTTACATTTGTCATTGGCCGGTCGGTGGGAGGAGTAATCCTAAACATCAACCCTGACATCCCCAACTCCTGAACCCGCAACTCCGAAACCCTAAACTCTTATTGGGCGGTTGCCAAAATCATGTTGTTTAGGGTACCCAAAAAGGGACCCTAATTTTGACAACCACCCCTATGCTCAAACTCCTAGAGTCTGAAATTCACGGCAGCGGCAGCCTTGAACTTCCAATATGCAAAGCACTCGGAGAAGGAGGTGATGATCTGAGGACTCTTTGGGTTTGGGGTTTCATGAGGCTTTAATTAGAAATGAAGGGTTTAGGGCTTCTGGGTTTGAGGTGATGATAGGTAGAGCCGGGATGAGGACTCTTGGGTTTAGGGCTTCTGGGTTTAGGGGGTTCAAAAGGGTTTAAGGGTTTAATTTATAATCAAGGTGTTTAGGATCTACGGTTTGGGGGGGGTGGGTGGGGGTTTCGGGGTTGGAGGATTTTGGGGTGCACGGCATATAAGCCTGTGGCCGCAGGCTGTTGAGAAAAGAGTTTGGCGGGCTGGATGGGAAAAATATCTTTGACCTGGGAGTTCCCGAAAATTATAGGACCCGAGAGTAGGATAACTACTATAAGGACCCATTTAATAAGGTACCCCCGAATATTCAACTTTCGGAAACTCCCATCTCTTTGTTTTCATGACCCCACGCCCCAAAATCCAAAACCCTAAACCCTAAACTTACCTTTGCTTAGTAGGAAATGGAGGGAAGGGCAGCAGTAGTAGTTATAATTGTACCCCATTCCTCCATTCCCTACTGACCAAAGGCAAGTAAACCCCTCAACCCCCAAACCCTAAACCCTAGGATTACTACCCCCAAACTCCTAAACCCTAAACCCTAGGATTATTCTGAAACCCTAAACCGCCAAACCCCTAAATCCTAAACCCTAGGATTATTCTGAAACCCTAAACCCCCAAACCCCTAAACCCGTGAGCCCTGGGCTCTGGATAAACTGCAAACGATGCTGGCAACGACCTGAGGTTTCTGCTCGGGCCCTCATCTTCGCCCACCTGTCAAAGCCTGTGCCCCCAAAACTCCTAACCAAGTAATGTAGGGGCCTTCATAATTAGAATATCGTTTTTGAAGGTTCCTTGTTAGAGTTATAGTATAATAGTAATCAAGGCCCTTAATGTAGGGGCCTTAATAATTGGAATGGGGTTTGGGGTCGCATTTCACTATAACTATCAGAAGGAACCCTCAAAATAGTATTGGTAATTATTCAAACCCCTAAGTACAGTCATGCCAGGATTGTAACTGGTGCTCCGAAATGAGCCCTAAACAGAAAAGCTTTGAGCCCTAAACCCTAACCCCCTGACCCCTGAACGAGCCGCCTGCGCTGGCATGATGAAAGCTGTGTCCTTGGCAAATGGACCCCCAACCCTAAAACTTCTTCCTACTTGTCGGGTATCCTGGGGAACCAAAGGTTAACTTAACTACCCAAAGCAGGTTAAAGGTTACCTACTCTACTACTAGCTAAGACTTCTTGAGCCGAGGCATACACCCTGATTCTTTGAAGGGTTTTAGGGCTCAGGGCGAAAGGGTTTTAGACGAGGGTTTAAGGTCTAAGGGGCCAGGATTTGAGTATTTTAATTTTGAAGCTTAGATATTAGAGTTCAGTGCTGGGGTAAAAGCCAACCTCGTCTCGGCCTCACCATGAATCCCAAGGGTCCATACGCTCCAATCCTAAAACCCTAGGTGGGAGTTTTCCGAAAATAGGGGACCCTAATCTAGCACCCTAAATAGTAGCATCCTTATTCTGAGTACCCCAAAGTAAGGTACCCCTAATTTTCGGAAACTCCCTTGTCAATGACAGACCAGCCCAATGCTCTTCAGAGCGTAGCGGCATAGGGGTCTCGTCCTCTCTCAATCCCTTAGGGATGCATGTACCCAAATAGTATATACCTAGGCCTTAAAGTAGTCCCTATGTTGGTACTTTGGGGCCAAAGTATATACTATTTGGGCACATGGACCCTTAGGGAATCAACCAGAAAAGGTTGGGATACTGCTTGGTCAATAGGCGACGGAAACCCCATCCACAGGCTGATCTTTGAGCCCTGTTGTACAATCGGAATCGATGGAGCGAATGCCCTCCCAGTACCATCATTTCCCTGTGCATTCCTAGCATGAACAAAGTTGATCATACTGACGGGTATTGGCAGTCATTTTCAGGTGGAAACTTCAGTCAGGTTTTCTACGAAGACCTCGGCCGACCACTACACATGTGACCCCTGAGCCCTATAGACCCAGAATCTTGAGTCTCACTCTCGAAGCCCGAAGCCCAAAGCCCGAAGTCCTAAATCCCAAACTCTACGCGCTATAAGCGTATGTTCAAGACCATGTTCCTACACCCTAAACAGTGAAACCCTACAGCTGAACCCAGAGCTTCTCGTTGAACGTCTTCCTGCCCTGCCTTTGACTAGGCTTTTCCTTAAAGGAACCTGACCTCAGTTACCATACCAAGGATCTCGAGTAAACAACACCTCCTGCGTTTTATGGTTTGAGCTTTGAACTTACAGTAGACGTCCGAAAGTTGGAAAACCAATAGCCTCAATCCTTAAGATGTTAATTGCCATGAAAAGGGAATCCCAGCCCTACTTGTCCTTAATCCGGCTTCCAACTATTTGGGGCTTACTCTGGGCTACCATCATACCATACAAAGGATCCAGAAGAGCTTCCAGAGCCCCTGAAGTATTGCAGTCTGAATCTGCAAGCTGGCCCCTAGGTTCAAATCCATCATTGCTAGGATCCGCACGCAAAGCCTAAGCCTATCTCAGCTTTGGGCACCATGAAGATCGCTGAAGCCCAAACGCAAGCGCCGAAACTCTAAAACCCTTAAAACTCTAAACGCTACAATCCAAAACTAGAAGCTCAACAAATCGACAATCCCCGAAACCCCTACACTCCTAAACCCTGAACTACTTGGAGGTCCCCTAATATGGGCTATAAGTATATAGATACCCTACTTACAACTACCCATGAACCTCCAAGTAGAACGCTCTAAACCCTAAACCCTAAAGCCCTAAAGCCTAAAACCAATGCAATAATAGTATTTCCTGATTTGGAAACCCTACATTCTACTTTATCGGTACATAGAACCCTTTGGGACTATAACACTCATGAAGGCCTATAAACCCCAAAACCCTCAACCCTATAACACTCATGCAAGCCACCATGAAGATCATCCCTAAACCCCCCCAAAGTAGGTAAAATAATGGCCTATAAAAGGCCATTATTCTACATACCTTTTGGGGTCTAGGTAACACTCATGCAAGGCACCTCCAAGTATAACACACTAAACCCTAAAACCCTAAAGCCCTAAACCCTAAAGCCCCAAACCCTATGACACCAAAGTGCAAGGCACCATACTAGTAATTCCTAATGTGGAATATATCGGTACAGTGAACCCTTTGGGACCATAACACAAATGCAGGGCACCATGAAGATCATCGTCATGGCGAACCGACTGCCGACCTGGTAAATCTGCTGTGCCACCGGATCGTTCGTGCCGTGCCTCAGCGAGGAGGCTCAGGGTCTAGGGCTTTAGGGTTTAGGGGTTGAGGGGTTTAGGGCTTAGGGTTTAGGGCTTTAGGGGTTCAGGGTTTAGGATTTAGGAGTTTAGGGGTTTAGGGTTTTGGGGGTTTCGGGGTTTGGGAGTTTAGGGTTTAGAGTACCCTTGGTTAGTAGGGAATGGAAGATTGGTAGTAATAGTAGACATAATTGTACCCCATTCCTCCATTCCCTACTAACCAAAGGCAAGCAAGGAGGCCCGGCAATGCAAAACTTCAACCCCAAACCCCAGTGAAGTCCAGAAAGTTGGAATATGAATTAATAATAATAACTGGTGCTGGATTCCGACCACGAACCCTAGTCCCGATGAATCAACTACAGGCTTAATTAGAACAAGGTCTTGGGATGCATTATGAATATTAAGACTATTATAAGAAGCCCTATAGGAATGATGTTGACAGTCATTCCGACGATCAGGGCATGGGTAGTAGGGCTGATGGTCTTGTCTGGTTAGATGTACTTGGGTATCTAGATTTGATAGCGGGTCCAAAGTGCAGGGCTGCTTCTAAATCTAAGCCACGACATAGCTGCAGACTGCCAAATCCCCTCTTCATTTAAAATGTCATGTTTCAGTCCAAGCCCTGAACTCTAACCCTAAATCAATCGTTAACTCCATAAGTCCATACGCCGCAGCGCCCTCCCAACGAATCCAAACTAATGTCCTAAACTCTCAAGTCTAAAGAACCCTAAACCCTCTAATTGCTAAAATCCTTAACTTTAAAGAGGCCTAAACCGTATAAGTCCTAAATCCTAAACCCTAACGAATCCTAACTAGTGCCTACTTAAAAACTAAAAACAAACACTATAAGTCCTTAATGCGGCCCAGTGGCTCCACCGATTGGAGAAGCACAAAGCCTCTTGGAGGATATGTAGTTCATGTTTAGGGCTTAGGGTTTAGGGTGTCTTCTGCCGTCACCTCACACCATGGTTTCTGGGTGGCGGCATATGACGCGTCAAGCGACCTTCCTTGCATGTGTCATTGAACTCGGTGACACCGGAAGTTCTCTTAAACCCCCGAAATGTTCACGCAGTGCCCACACCCTTTCACCACCCCTAGTTCCCCATAGGCTCCACCCATTGTTTCGCCCAGCGCGGGTGCAACAGCGGCAGGGAATTTGGCGCTTAGGGTTTACAGGGTCTAGGGCTTCCGGTTGGCTTCTATATTGTTTCTTTCTGAGTTGTTTAAGGGCTACTCTGCATAGGCGTCCAGAGTAAGTTGGGCCTGTTTGGAGCTTTCGGGGTGATTTATGGTTTCGGGGTCTAGGGGTTTAGGGGTTTAGGATTTCAGGGTGTGGAGTGTAGGGTTTGCGAATCACGGCATATGGGGCTTGGGAATATGGTTTACGCTTCTAGGCGAGGGAAAGGGTGTACTGAAAATGAGGGCTTATTTGATCCCGTGGTCTGAAACGCTGGATTTGTCTCCAGAAGGCTTGTATGCATAGGTTGCATATGTAGGGATGTTTACGGGAGATATGTATTTGTAAATGTCTACATGGGAGTTTCCGAAAAACAGGGGACCCTAATATAGTACCCTAAATAGTAGGATCCTTATTGTATCGACCCCAAACTAAGGTAGCCCTAAGTTTCTGAAAATCCCATATGCTTTGAAGATCCCGAGACCAACACGACGGGTTTCGGACGTGCATGCAAAGCTCCAACTTTAAAAACTCTAAGTTCTAAAGCCTGCATAAACCCAGAGACTCCAATATCCCTTAACTAAAGAATATACCTTAAATCATATAAGGGATCCTACTATAATTTAAGGTATATTCTTTAATTCAGGGATCTTGGAGTCTCTAACCCAGACCACCGGGAGGATCTGGAAACTAGATCCCTTAATGGGGGTTCTTATCAAGCACCCTTAGTAGTATAGGGTCCAAAAAAGGTGGTTTTACTTTCTAGATCCTCCTGTTCGTCTGGGAAGCTTCGAGCGAATGTACCATAGTAGCCCCAGTAGTGTGCCCGCAATGTCTGGTAACGAGCCAAGATCACAGTAATATAGAGGCCTTAATGATTACAATAAGGTCTTGGGATATGTTATAGTCTCTTGTATCATAAGGTAGTTTAACTATGATTAGGAGCCACCAGAAGAGTATAAACCAGCATCGGCATCCAGACTCTACAGAACCTCAGGCCAAGGTTGATGATATATATATATATATATGTATATATATAGATATATATACTGCATTACCTTAAGGCCCCTAAACTATGGGAATATCAGGCCTAGGATTCCGGGCTCAGCTTTTCGATGAGATAAATCCTGCATTACCTCAAGAACCTAAACTCTGGGAATTATGGTATATTCGTCATTATGGGTACTGCAGATTTATAGCATCAACTGGCATCAACAATATAAATGCGGACAAAGGGCGGAGTAATTAATCATGAAGGCACAGGTTCCGCGGAATCTAGGCTCTGGATCTTCAAGCAAGAGGAATGGGACCCCCTAAAACCCTAAACTCTAAAACCTAACCCTAAACCCTAATCCCTAAAACCCTAAACCCTAAAACCCTAAACCCTCAAACTCGTAGCTTTCCAAAAAAGACAAGCAGCAATTGAAGCTCAGGAAGTACAGCGACGCCACGATACGTAGGCTTCTCGGGGTCAAACGGATCCTCGGAAGGTCTAGTTTAGGGGATTTAGGGGTTTAGGGCCCGAAGTCGAACTGCGCCCACCGATTCAGCCGAAATCTAGTAGAGCAGGGGAGTCATAAGTGCGTCGAAAGCATCAGCATTTACTAATAATTTGGGCTTCCCCCGAACCTTGCAAGAAGGTTGCCAATCCGAATGGACCCTCACGTTCAATGTCTAGCTTGCATGCTGAAGGCTGAGGGGTCAGGTTCTAGGGTCACACTTCTGGTTTAAGGTCTTCGCCCCATCGCTCGAATCTAGAATACGCCTCCCGGACCCGGGTAGTTGAAAGCAGACGTAATGTGCTTGCCATTTGCCGCGACGTCCGGAGCATGTTTCCACAACCAGTAAGGGAAACCCTAAACCCTAAGCCCGATAATACACTTCTTCCTTCACCTCCGAGAGTACGCAGTCGATGTTCTGGGCCGCATGGTGAAGGCTTCTCTTTCTGAGGCAATTGCCTGTGTCCGAATGTTTGGAGTGTCCAAATAAGCCCTAAATCCCCAAACCCTGAACCCCTAAACCCTAAAACCCTAAACCCTAAACCCTAAACCCTAAACCCTAAACCCTAAACCCTAAACCCTAAACCCTAAACCCTTAAACAAAACGAAACCCTAAAGTCCTAAACTCTAAACCTTGAACGTCTGAACTCCAAGCCCCGAAGCCAGAATCGCAAACCTAAACCCCTTCCAAACCAAAGCCCCAAAAACGATAGAGGCCACGTGCGCTATGCCCTCAACCTACAACCCGTACACCCGGAACTCCTAAACCCTACAAGAACTACCATAGCCATAGCCTAGCTTTATGCAACATACAGTATAAGCCCTAACATGGAATTTACGGGGACCCTACAAGAATACCTGAGCCCTCAACCTTAAACCCGAAAACCTGAACCCTAAACGGGTGCAGTTTTTGGTTGCTCCCTTTTTTTTGTTTTTGCTCCCTTTTGTTTTGTTCTTCTGTCTTCGGGGTGTGGGGGGGGAAAAAGCCCACTTTGCTGCAGCCGAATGTACGCAGCGCTGCTGGCACGCCCCTTTATGTGCGACGTCCTGGAAGGTGCCACGATCGAAAACGGCGGCACAATTTTGGTGGAAAGCGTCCAGAGCACGACGTTTCGCCAGCTCGCCCAAAATACATTATTTCAAGCCTTACAGGAAGTAAATGATGCTGTTGTTGTTACTGTTATTGTACTTGTTAATGTTAATGCTATTGTTATCGCTGTTCTTGTTGCCATTGATACTATATTCATTGCTAGTGTTGTTGCTGTTGTTGTTGTGGTTGTTGTGGTTGTCGTGCTTGTTGTTGTTATCATTGTGGTCGTTGTGGTCGTGTTTTTGTTCTTGTTAATGGTTTTGTTACTGTTCTTGCTGTCCTATACTTTAATATGTGAATCGCTATAAATTGAAACAACCACAATATAATACAGTACATTATATAACAACATAATCTAAACATAACAACGATGCACCCTTCTTCTGCAAATCGAATGCTTTCAAGATGAGTATTCAAAAGCTCTAAAACTTGTTCATGATGCGATGCTCTTGAAAGCAAGCCTGCGCGGCTTAAAAGAAAGAGGGGGGTTGGGGGGCGGGCAGCCCCCCCCCTGTGCCGATACACCCCCAAGGAATACTCCTTGTGAGGAGGTGTATGACCAGTTATTCCCTAAGGATCAAAGGGCAGCGCCCTGCACACGGACAGTAGTTGTTTTGTCTTGCTACGCAAGGAGAGCTTGTCTTGTCTCAATATGGTAAAACCACTGTGAGCCAATGGGCAGCGGAATGTATATGTATGAGCATGCAGCCATTGCTGTAGGTACCTGTTAGAGCTACCCCTTTAGAGGTTTATGGTTTCAAACAGACACTAATTTTCTTTTACCGGAAGCATGGCCGCACATTCACACATATACTATTATGCCCACTGTCACAGTTGCGGAGTTTGGACTCATGATAAAAACAGCATGTTATTTATGCTAGGTATAGCACTGAAGTACACTGCTGAGGACACTCCACTCATTTTGCACACACACTCATGCATGTTGGTCAGAGAGATCATCTGTACAAGATCATGTCTGGTGATGTTTTCTACATCGAATTATGCAGCCTTTCACCTTGCTCTTGTTAGAGCTTTGTGAGTCACTGTTGTGAAACTCTGAGAATTTTCTTATCTCAGATTCGGATCCAGGTTTGGATCATAGGCTCGAGCGTAGACGTTCGGATGTGGCTCATCCGGGTCTGAGTGGTCTTCTTCGGAACTTGAAAAGATTCCGAGTAATCTGTTCTCCGCCCTGGTGAAGGCGGCGTCTGCAGTATCATATCCATTGTTGGATGTTATCGCCTTTGGCTCGGCCTTTGGAGCAGCTTGTGAGCTGGCTGGAGTTGCCTTGGCTTTTGCCGGTTGCGGCTGCTTAGCCTTTGCCCGTTCAGCCCTTCTTCTTTCAAGCTGTCCGTCTGAGGACGCCCATGATCTTTCACTTTCATCTCCTGAAGGAGACAAGGCGTGGGCATAAAGGCTATTCCAGTACTGTGGTGCAGAAGGAGTTAGGACTTCTTCATTGTCAGATTCTGACTGGTCTTCCTCAGAGCTTTGGTCGTCAAAGAGTGTCTCGAGGACATTTTTGAGATTGTTATTTCTTCGCTCTATCTCTAGTGAGGAATGGACCAATTGGTTAAAGACTGTCCTTGAGTCCTTCAGTGCTGTTAGAAGGATTTCCACTCTGGATAGAGTATCTTGGATGGTGTCAAGATGTTCCTTTCTTTCCTCCTTGTCTCTCTGGATAGAGCCTCGCAATGCTTGTGCGATTCTGAGGAGGTCTGTGTATTTCGCAAGAGGCATAGTTACCGTTTGATTGTCATGTATGACAGTTGTTTCGTCGCCGCTTAAGTTCCTGAATAGGACTTCCACGACTGGTAGGAACTCCGTGCTCCACGGTTCCTCTTCATCATATGTTTCTACGTGCTGTAGCACGCGTTGTGTAAACTGGCCGGCTGCTTCTACCGTTGCATCGATAGAGCTGACGTGTCTTGCTACTATGTTTCGGCACGTAACGTTAATTGCCTGGCCTTGATTGGCTTCGTCAAGTGCAGCGTCTGCATAGGTGCAGAGTCCACTGTTGTGGGCTTCTCTAGCTGCCTTTCGTTGAATGCGCCGATTTTGACCTCCTCTTCTGGTAGGACCTTTTGGTCTTGGAGGATCAGAAGGTACTGTTCCTTTCGCCTTTGGCGGAGGACTCTTAGGTGGAGGTGATATGTTTGCCTTGTTAGGCCCTGGTGGCATTGCCTTGGGCGCTGATGACGATGCGGCACTTGAGAGTGCAGATGTACCTCTGGCCTTTGCCGAGGATCCCTTGGGGATCGATGTATAGGTAATCTGCATGGCTTCTTCGGCCATTTGTGCATGCAAGGCATCCTTGAATAATTGTGTCATGTGAGGAGTGTTACTTGCATCATCGTAGGTCTGGAAGCGCTCAATGTCTCTTTCGGTGCCACGTGGTCGTGTATCACCTCTTTGGAAAGGATCGTTCCTGCGAATCTCCGCAACTTGTACTGCATGGAGGCAGTTTTTGCACAGCACCTTCTTGCAAACATCTCTTGCTTGCTTGAGCTGGTAACAGCTGTCTGAGAGATGGTAGACTTCGCTTCGGGAAGTATGCCAGATAGGTCGCAGATCAGTTGTTTCTCCGGAATTGACCCTGTTGGGTCCTAAAGGTTCACGCGTCTGCGGTTCATCCTCGGGTTCGAGGAATGGAACTCTTTGGTTCGCTGCTGCTTTTGATTTTGGTTGTTGGCGCTCCATACATCTGATAGGAGGCCTGGTAATCTGCTTCCACATCCAGTGTAAGCCCATTAGCAGCAGGAACACATTCCACGCGATGCTGAAGACGGAGAAGTCCTGCTCACTGGTTAGTGAGTTTGGAAGTGAAGTTTCATCAGTCTTGGTAGACTCTGCGTTCGCTCCACCTCGGTTGCGGTGTCCGAACCAGCCCGACAACCCCGCTGCTGTAGCAGCTGTTCTGAGTGCCTTGCCGCTCGGAGCAGACGGTGGACGCGATGCCTTCCTTCTTCTCCTCCGGCTGGAGGATTCGTCCTCTTGTTCCTCTTCATCTCTCTGAGCAGACATCAAGTTTGATGTTTCTCTTTCGTGTTCTTCGATGTCACTTTTTGTTGGTGACGGTTCTTCTTCTAGTCCATCCAGCTCTTCCAAAGACATGTTGAGCTTGTCAACAATATTGGTTCTTTGAGGCCTGGACCTTGATCTTGGTAGATCTTGTTGTGAAGAGGACGATGATTCCTGGTTCCTTCTTGGAGGAGGACCTTCAGGCTCGCTGGGACGTTCAGGCTGTGGCCACTCCCAGAATCTTCCATATCTGTGATGGCTACCTGATGGTTGCGATTTGTCGTACCAGCTGTTGCCGGATGAGTAAACGAATGAATCGTTGTAACCCCAGTATTCAGCATTACGCTGCTTGTAAGCCTTTCGCTTGTCAGCGATCTTTTGGACCTGGGCATCTGACCGGTTGTGTTTCCCTTTTGTAAGGATTGGTTGTATCGTGAAGCCCAAAGGGCTGTGCCAATCTTTGTCAGAGGGACTCAACCATAGGTCAAGGTTAGAAAAAGTTGAATAGTACTGCTTGACTGAGACAAACAGACGGATATCAATATCCCTGTTGTTGTTCGTGTCCTGCCACATATCTGAGATTCGTTCCCAGTATGTTCTTTCGGCGGCAGGTGTGACCTCTCTTGGACTAGGTGACGCCGTGTGCGGCGTTTTACTCCAGTCAAGGATATAACTGTTGATACAGTCAAGGTCAGCAACTTTCTTCGCCGGGTCCGCCGGTAGACGATCTGCACGTGCCAGTCTGTGCTGGTCGGAGTTGTTCAAGCAAAGATGTCGCACTTGTGAGTGCCTTCCTGCTATTTTGTTGAATGCTGCAAGTTTCTTCTCCAGGTATAGAGAAAACAAACTGTTTCGCGGGTGAACGTCTCCAC